GATTTGGGATCAATATACTAAGCGGTTTAAACGCGTTACGGTATTTAATCATTTTCCCGCTTCAAGCGTAACAGCCATGTTTCACGGGTTTCACGGGTTTGCGCAGAACGAGTAAGCGTAGCTTTTCGGTGGTTCTGCCTCGGGATCTTACGGCAAGGTCCTGATCTCGTCGGTAGGTACCAGATGTGGTTCTCGACGCAGTAGTGGTGTTCAGCACAAGAATTCAGCGAGTTGACTGTGGGAACGTGGGTACCTGGAACAAGAGAGTGGTGTAGGTAAATTCGGCAAAGTCGGATAGAAGCAAAATGATGGAAGCGCCGCGTGTTAGCTTGGCAAATGGCCAGATCTTAGCAACGTTGAAGACCAGCGAGGTAAGAGCCAAGCGTCTAGGCGCTGTTTGAAGGCCTCCGTATTGGGCGCTGAGACAACAGCTTCGGGGAGGGCGTTCCAAGCGAAGGCAGTACGCACACTGAAACTGTTTCTTCGGCACAGAAGGCGACTGCTACGAGTCATCAGTTTGAGTGAGTGCCCTCGAAGATGATCTGTACGGGCGCGGACCAGCAATCCTGCGTTTGGGTGTCTGTTATTAGTCAGGACGGAATAAGCTAAGATAAGGTCGCCACGAAGCCTGCGATATTTCAACGGGAAGAGGTTAAGGGCCGCCAGACGCTCCTCATACGAGAAGTGGGATAGTCCGTCCACTCTCTTAGTGGCTCTGCGCTGTACAGTTTCCAGCATGGCCTCGTTTGTATTCCGACGTTACTCAAGGGTCCTTATCTGGATTTCCCATCGATGAATGAGGATTTGAAAGAGTTTCAGACGGAAACAACGACGACGTTTATTCGTCGGAACGTTATAACTGCACAGACTTACTAGAGGGAGACTGGACAGGTGCTACCAGAAGAATGCCCGTATCAGAATCAGAATCAATTTATTAGGAGAATAAGATAGGAATCTATGTGATCTCCATCATAAGTAAAACAAAAATGACCCATGCCGAATATGGGTCTGTGTGAATGCACATCAATAGTCATTTAGTAATAAGCAAACAAAATACTGATATATAAGCACAAAGAAAGCACTACGTGTCTTGGTCTTTTAGGGTTGCTAGTGTAGCCGTGACATAACCACGCGACGAAAGGAGGTCAAACATGGCGTCTGCATCGAAACACAAGTCTGAAAAATGTTTGTCAATGCTTCGTTTGAAACACTGCACTGAATCAGAAAGAACAATGGAACTGGGCAACCAGTTCCAGAAATGTATCACACGTCGCGCGAAACAGTGAATATGAGTGACATTGTCCATACGTGGAACTTCCAGCTTGTAAGAATGCCCTCCGGTAATAGGTGCATCCACAATACAGAACATATGTCGCAGTTAAGGAAAATGTCTCAAGTGAAGGATTCTAAACGTTGTAATGAGGTCAATTCGTAATCTCCTGTATACTAGTGTGTGGAGACGTAACTTGTGGCACCTCTGACGGTAAGATAAGCCTCGGAGCGTGGTGATCAGGCGGGTGACTAGGTGCTGGACTTTTTCCAGTTTTCTCATCTCACCTTTTATACTTGGAAAATAGGCCGGTGCCCCGTACTCTAAAAGCGGGCGCACCATGGAGACGTATAGCCTGACAGCAATTTCCTCCGACCAAACGTGGAAGGTCCGCTTTTATGACCAAAACATGCGAAGGCTGGAACAGTAGACCTTGTGCGTATTGTCTGACGATTTTAAGTCCCATCGTGATAGTACTCCTAGATCTCTAACCGTCGCAGCCGAGCACAGTAGACGTCCACCGACACTGTAAGTTCCGTCCCGTAGCGGTATATTCCGTTCGTATGCGTGCATAGCGAGCGCAGCAATGTTGCTGGAAAGCGGCAAGTGCACTGTGTCTGCCTGATGAAAAGATTATTAGAGGTACCGCTGTTACAATTGCCCTGCTCTCTTTTCAGCGACGTTTAAGGGCGAATGTTACGAGATTGGAGACGCGTGTCTGTGGCATTCGCGCAGTTTTTAAGTGGGGAAGCCTTGGCTGTGTGCGAAAAACCGGAGGCTACCGCGGATCAGGAACGCATGGTGCTTGACTTAATGAAAACGTTTCGTCGGACACAGGAGATGCTTGCATTTGTGCGCCAGCAATATGACATTCGTTTAACAATGCGCGATTTGTATGACATCCGGCGGAGTCATCGGAACGCTTGTAGCACGGAAGTGGAACGGGCTGCGCAGCTGTTGTGAAGAAATGGTCAGGTTAAAATTATGCATGAGGGAAATGAGATTCGATACCTCTTTGTCTTGCCCACGCGTATGCTGGAGTTGGTGGGCTAATACGGTGAGGTTATTTTGGTGGACTCCACATATCATATCAATTACGGGGGTTACGTCCTATGGCATCACATGTTTGTGGATGTTAGCGGCCTTGGCATGAGCCTCTTTTATGCGCTTCTGCCAAATGAGACGGAGGCTGCTTACCAAGAGGCAGTGAGAGGTATGTTGGAGTTCGCCCCCGGGGTTGCCGGGGCTCGAACCATGGTGATGGACAAGTGCGCTGCGCAAGTGAATGCGTTTTGCAAAGCGTATCCCACTGCCAACATCGTATTCAGCCCGGTAAACATCATGCGGGACATACAGCGGCGTTGTTCACACCTTCCGTTCTGTAACACGGAGGATAAGAGGGCTCTGTTCAATATGTTGCGCTCGTTGTTGTACACCGACGATTGCGCAAATTATCATCGGATTATGGGAGGTATATCGGTGCGCAGCGCGGAATGCTTCCAATACCTCCGTCGCACGTGGATCCCATGGCGGCTTAGCTGGGCGGCGCATTCGATGGGCCACGTGGTAGTATTCGGGTGTGATAGCACAACTCGATTTGACAATACAAATAATCATTTGAAAGAAACTTTGTGTGAGCGGTCAACTCTACTGCACCTAGTGCTAGTGCAGCGTTGCACTGGCATTTTGGAGGAGAGTGAAACGTTGCTTCCGAGCGATCAGCTTGGTATGTGAGAGGTTGTGCAGGGTGTAAGCAGTGCGCAGTTGATTTTGAGGAGCATGTCGTCATACGCCCGGCGGCAGTACGTGCGGCACATTCTTCCAGTTCGCATTCGTGATGTGAACCCGTACGGCGGGTATTGGCTGGTGGATGACGAGCGCCTGCTCATGCAACGTGTAGTCATTGAGAATGTCAGTCCATGCAGACGTCGATTTAACCGCTAGTGGCGTATTCCATGTGCGCACATTATACACTTGGCAAGCCTACCCGCGTAAGACGAGGAGGTGGTGCTTGGTGGTTGCCGCTGGGTGCTGCCAGCGGAAAGTGTAGCAGTATTGGCCCTTTCGGAGGACAGGGAAGGAACCGTGACGGTGGCGCGGATGCGATTCCGTTGTGATGGAGTCCTTGACCGGACCGCCAAAATTCACCTCACTCGAGATATGTTTGCTGACTTCGATGCGCATGTATTGAGTATGGGTACGGAGGAGTTCCACCGCACAACGGGCGTAATGGCATGCATGCGTGAACTGCTGGCTACTCACAGTAATATGGAGGTGTTCGCCCGATCATCGAAGGTTGAACAATCATAACGATTATCCTGGGAGGACCCGCCTATTAGGTTGCCTAAAAGAAAAATTGTGTTTAATTGAATGATGGTTTTGTGGTGTACAACTGTGGACGCGGAGGAATGTTATATTTAATAGCGGAGACTGCAGCTGTTTGTTATTGTGATAATCATACTTTTCCTGCTAGGTGTGCTAAATGACATGATTTTGATTCACGCTAAATCATTTTTCATGAAGTGATGCTACGTAAACATCGAAGTCCATGATTACTCTTTCGGAGCTTAAGAGGTTTTTGGGGAAAAGGGCTTTTTTAAATATTTGCAAGCGTTTAATTGATATATATATATATATATAGCATTTAAGAGCAGGAGACATATTTGCACACACACAGTCAATTATCCAACAACCAATAATGATTTTGGTCACCATTTCGATTACACAATTATGACCTCCACAGGTAACCTCCACTGCAAACAAATCCCTATTTATAAACCATTTGCTATACATCGACACTCGCGTAGTTTGGAAAATTTACCATACATGCTGCCACTTCGTTCATTTTATGAGGACATAGCGCAACCAGCCCTTAGCGCTTTTTTAGATTCTGTGCCTTTCTAAACCACTTGCGCACCGTTATATATTATTTTTCCATTTTTATACCACTTTGCAATTAAGTATGGTGCAGTATAATTTTTAGCTTTGTGTAGTTCATCACCTCATTATAAACACCTTTCGCAACCAACTACCCCAATAAAACCCATACATTTAGAGAACGCTGAAATCGGTTGTCCAGATGAACAGCAGCCCGTATTCAAACTTGCGCCAGTGGCGGGCTCGCCAATCCCCTTTTGGTCCTCCACGAACAGGAGCGACCTTCTAAGGATGAGCGATTAAAGTGTTGCCCGTGACGGATGCTTGGAATAGTCCGGGTAAACATGTAGCGACCTGGAGATTCCCCCTCATGACTGTGTAAACTATTCTAAAATATTCAAATCCTAGCTTTCTTAGGTATTAGGGAACTATTCGGTTTGCCTGTTGGAATGTTGTCCCCGTTTGTTGGAAACACGAAAACGATCTCCGCCTTTGGCGTGCGACTCGACTGCGAACAACGCCCTGTCAACCCACTCGACGCCAACGACATTCTCCCTAGCTAGCTCTCTCCGGGTGCCCTATTTTTAGCATTAGCTAACGCTCCTCCCAATAAACTTCTTCCCTAGCTTACTCTTGTGTTTTCTACCCATTGCTTCTGGTTGGCCGTCTAGTCATGTACCGGATATATAACGCATGATCAACGCGATATAATTGGGGACCACGAAAAAGAAGCTATTTTCGGGAGTTTGATAATAACATTTCTTTTCAGATCCGGTAAGGTATTCTCTCTACTTTTTTGCTTTTACTCTTTACTACTTACGTTCACATTCATACGCTCCGGAATTATTTCACTATGAAGGTCGTTCACCCAGCTTCTGACGATCAGGTTAATGGGTTCCGTTTCCCTATTCCGTCTTTTCGAGAGACTAACCCTAAGGCCTGGTTTAACCAGCTAGAATCTATTTTTTCATTACATGGTGTTAAGTCTGACAGGGTAAAATTTCACTGCGTTGTTGCAGCACTTCCTCCGCAAGTCTTCGATGACCTCGACGACATCTTCGAGCTTCCCGATGGTCAGAAAAGTTACGATGAGCTTACGGTCGTCGTCTTAAAGCGATTTGGCGTATCAGACCATGCTCGCGTTACGCAGCTTCTTAACGAAACCTAGCTAGGAGAGCGAAAGCTTTAGCAATTGCTGCACAAGATGCAGGCTCCAGCTAAGCCTCTCTGTTGGCGACTCTTTTCTTAAAATGATGTAGCTTCGTCGCCTGCCACATGACATACGTTACCCTTTGTATGTAAACGATGCACCTCTTTCTCAACTCGCTGACGTTGCCGACCGTAATTGGGAATCCAAAGCCCAAGTATCTCAGGTTCAGTCTACTTCCAGTAAGGAGGTAGCAAAACTAAGAGTGCAAGTAGCCGCACTTACCAACCGACTAGAGAACCTAGCACAGTCCGGATCCAACCGCCGAAATCGTTCCAGTAGCCGCACTCCTCCTAGATCACGTTCGAAACCACCCCCTAGCTCAAGCTATTGGTGATACCACGAGCGATTTGGTCAGCAGGCAAGATCGTGTCACCCGTCTTGTTCCTTCGAGCGCAACACGCAGGGAAACGGGCCAGCCAGCACGTAGTGGCGACGGGCGTTGCTGGCCGCCCCAGGCGCCTTTTCTTTGTCACCGATCGCAGTACGGGAGTACGCTATCTCGTTGACACCGGCGCAGAAGTCAGCGTTATCCCACGTGATTCTAAGTATATCGAAGAGGCGACCGTTTCATTGAGCGCAGCAAACGGCACCACAATTCGCGTGTATGGTCAAGGCTCTCGCACGCTTAATTTAAACCTACGACTTTCTTTTAAATGGATCTTTCTCGGCGCAGATGTCCAGACGCCAATGTTGGCCTTGAATTTCTGCAGCACTTCGATTTGCTTGTTGACGCGAGCAACGCCGTCCGATCGATCATCAAACGAATCTGGCACTTATAGGTACTTTGACCAATCAATCCTGTATACGCCAACCAGTCAAGCCTACCTATCGGTCAGATGCTTAACACCAAATTTCCGCCAGTCTTTCGTGCAATGGCACCCTTTCCATCTGCCACTGATGCTGCAAAACATCATATAGTTACCAAAGGTCCACCTGTTTTCGCCAAAGCAAGGAGAATGACCACTGACAAGCTAAAAACTGCTCTCATAGAATTCGTGAATATGCTTGAACTGGGCATCGTTCGCTCGCCTAAAAGTCCCTGGGCGTCGCCGCTCCACAAGGCGCCCAAAAAGTCAGGAGACTGGCGTCCATGTGGTGATTACCGCGCGCTCAACAGCTTTACTGTTCCCGACCGATATCCGATTCCTCACATGCAGGACAGCACGGCAAGCCTGCGCGGCACGCGTATATTCTCGAAAATCGAGCTAGTTCGCGCGTATCACCAGATTCCAGTCGCTGAAGGAGACATACGGAAGACTGCCGTAATCACGCCGTTTGGGCTGTTCGAATTTTTCCGTATGCCGTTCGGTCTTCGCAACACAGCCCAGACTTTTCAACGACTCAGCGATACAGTCACTAGAGGACCAAATTTTGTCTATGCATACATCGACGATATCCTAGTTGTCAGCGCTTCTAAAGAACAGCATGCGGAACATCTCAAAATACTTTTCGATAGGCTGGCCTCTAATAGCATCACTGTCAACCCTGACAATTGCGTATTTCAGCAGCCTTCCGTCGAAGTCCTTGGCTACCACATTGATCAGTATGGTATACGGCCTCTAGACTATAGACTCCGCGCTATCAGAGACTTTCCGTTTCCGACTACGTTAGCCGCTGTTCGCCGTTTAAACAGCATGCTCAACTACTATAGACGTTTGCTTCCACACTGCGCAGCAGCTAGCCATTATTTGCTCCATGTAGCATACAATGAACCACTCCTTGACAATCCAGCCTTCATTTTCCCCTGACGTCTGTCTATCTAACCTTTGCTCGGCTGTTGATTTATTCATTGAAACTGTAGGTATCCAGTAGTGGTCAAACTTCTTAATGTTATGGCTACACCAGCCGCTAATATATCCTTTGAAAGAACCACTATCTATGCTTAGCAGCAGCTAGTCGCCATAGCCTCAATTCAACTTTGCAGATATCCGGCGCTCTCTAGGAGTCGCTCCTTTCTTACAATGTTTATTCACTTGGATTGCTTGCGCCACAGCTCAGCTGGTTGGTTGACCTATTCTGTGCCACCGTAGGATCCAAGTGTAATTGAAGGCTTAATCCGAACTCTATTGCTGGCTACTCATCTATCTTCAAACGCGCCGTTATGCGTCGTTCGTGTTACTCGCGTGAAATTTTCTTTTTCGCGGCAGCTAGTCAATATTAAATAAATAAATAAATAAATAGTATATTCTCTGTAAAACGAGACACACCTCTAAAAGGCATGATCAAATATGCATACAAGCACAGCTTCTTTGGAATATTAAAACATTTCGTTACAATGAAAGGAATAAACGAAAAGATGTAGTCCATAAGAGCGAGCATATTGTCAGGTAATAGTCAGACCAAGGATCATAATGGCGCCGTGGCGCGCAAAAACTGTTGCGTCAAGATACAAGTGGGGGGTAAATTTGACATGTAGTGATCCATGAGCACAGGAGCCCGAACAAGGTTTAGTGCAATCAATGACCATTACGAAGCCGGGATGATCGGTACTCCACTAAAGCATTCTTCATAGTAAAATCAGTTGCACAGGTTCGATGTTGGAGGCTGAGGACTGCGTCAGTGTGAAATGTATAGCAGTGACTTTATTTTGTGGCGAGTCACATCCGCCACGTTGCAGTGTTGTTAAGCGGACATTTGTGGCTTTTTATAGGGAGAACGCTTGCCAGGCGAAAACCCACCACGTCCTGGAACACTGTCGTAGCTTCCGTTGGACTGTAGTGCTAGTCGGCTATACATCGTATAGACCGATTTTGCACTCTATTATTCGCAGTCGGTTGACAGCCAAAATTTTTCGTTGGTTGGCCAAATGGCTTAGTACTGAACCGGCAATAGTCGTTGAAGCCAGTCAATGATGTAAAAGAGTCGCAGAGTCGAATGATAATGATGCGGGTGAGTAAACATATTGTTAATAGAGGCCGGCTTTTTCTATTATGTTGTCCGGCTCGCAACCCGTGTCCAGCTATCCATGCTGGACTTGTCATAGGGACGGTGAGTGCAGTTGTTTCTTGTGTCTGAATATGTCCAAAACAGGAATAAATGCTATTCTCCGCGAAGTGGACAAGTATTTCCTTCAAATGTAAGTGTAATTGTCTCCATAACCAAGTGAGAGCTCCAGGAAAAATCATCGGAAAAGCCGCTTATGCGCGCGCAGTGCTGTCCGTGAAATGACATCAGAAAAGCTCCAGGTGACTGGAGAATCGGAATGTTTGAGGCAGTGAATGTAATCACGCCAGAATTGTCAGTCTCCGGTTGTGGAACAGTGGATCCATGTAACTACATTATTCCTGGTGAGTAAATTGTTCTACTGTGAGTACGAGGCGAGCTAAACCCATTTGTTTAGACCCCGTGGTGGTAGCTTCTCCAGAATGGCGGAAAGAGCTCCATTTGGAACGATGTGTGGGTTCTTCATCTCCCGGAGAAAAGAACAAGCATGTAAACCAGCTGGCTATTGAAAGTGGGTCGACTATTCCCAGTGGATAAACCTTCTTGTTTTGGCAGATGTATCTGTGGAAATCTCGAGAGAAAACGGGCAACGGACAAGAGGCAGCCAAACAGAAAGACAGCAACGAAGCAAGAAGCACAAACACAGACTGGTGGCGCGCAACGGTGCCTATGATACATTAAAATTTATGTAATTTTGTTTAGTATACATGATTTGCAAGCGCGTTCTTTACATCACGTCGCTGGTGTGCCTCAGACTACAACTACTAGGTAGAAAGAAGGGTATAACAAAGCGTGTAGACAACGTTAAGCGATTAATATGATTATTGGAGAGTAACAGGTAAACCGATGATGATGACAGCAGACCGAATGCGAGCGGCATCTTAGGTGAAACTAAGGACAACAAGGTTGAGACCGAATGCGGGAGCAACATAGGTAAAGCAACGTTCCAAGAAGAAAAGGAAATTTAAGGAATCAGCTATGAGCGGAAGAATGCGGACGGCAGTGCGAAGAGTAACTCATGAGAGCAATTAAGAGACGATAGTCAGGATGAAAAAGGTTTACTACTAAAGTGTGGTGAGCCAAGGACGCTCTCGTGCGAAGTATGAAACGTTCAGTGCTGAAATAGCACCGGTAATATCCCGGTAATCTGAGAGAACTCTAAAAGCCGGAGACCAAACAGACGAGACTCGAGAAGTCGACACATCCGGAGGCCTCGTAGTAGTCCCAGAGAATTACACTGATCAGATGATGACAAAGAAGGGCATGGCACTAAGCGTCGGTCATCCGATTGAAGATGTGAGAGTACAGGTTACTGATGGAAGTGCCTATATTAATAAAGGGTAAACAAGTCTAGCGGGCTGTCAATGTAAGCAAGACATAGTTGTGAGTCTAGAGAGATTAGATCGGTATATCTTGCTAGTCTGGAAAAGGTCAAAGGAGCATACCGGTCAGATGAGACTAGGTTATTACAAGGCACTAAGAGTTGGCAGTCCGATTAGAGAAGAAATGATAGTAGAGGGGCCATAAGGAGAGGAGACGGTCCGGATAGAGAGAGGTTTACTTATAAGGTGTGGAAAAGTCCACGGGGCTCGAGAGGTAATGGGCACGGAGCGTTCAGTCTTCCGAGCATAGCAGGCAGCGTCGCAGAAGTAGGAGAGAAGAAGACCGAGCTGCCGAGGTTGGACTTGGTCGGCGCATTGTGATTGAGTCCTATGGTTCATTTGGGAAGGTAAGTGGAGTCAGTAGGATCGGACTGGTCAGAGATAAAAGTGGTTATATCAACATAGGGCGAACAAGTTCAGCAGGATATCAAGGTGAGGGAGGAAGTGCTTTGGATCGACGGAGCCTAGACCGCTAACATCCCGGTAGCCTGGTAGCAGTCCCATAGAATTTGGCTGATCAGCTGAGGCTGAGTTACGGATGACAGAGACTCAATCGTCCGATTGAAGAATGATTGGATACGAACGGCGCTCAGTCATCTGAACGATGGCTAGTAATGTCACAGGAGTCTGAGAGAAGTTGGAAAGCAGGAGACCAAACAGACGAGACAGGATTAGTCGGCGAAACGACATTGAGTCCAACAGCTAATTTTAGGAGGGCAAATGGAGTGGGTCGAGAGGTGGAGGTGACTATATAAATAGAGGGTGAACAAGTCTAGCAGGCTGTCAACGTAAGTGCGATATAGCTTGAGTCTACAGAGTCTAGACCGTTTAAATGTTGCTGGTCTGGAAAGGGTCAAAGAAGCAGACCGGTCAGATGAGACTAGGTTATTACAGGGCACATAGTTGGCAGTCCGATTAGAGAAGGTTTGAAAGTAGAGAACGTCATAAGGAGACGGTCCGGATAGGGAGAGGTTTACTTATAAGGTGTGGAAAAGTCCATGGGGCTCGAGAGGTAATGGGGACAGAGCGTTCGCACTTCTCATTCAATGCCGGTAACGTCACAGCAGTCTGAATGAATTCGGAGAGCAGGGGACCGATCAGACGAGACTGGTTAAGACGGCAAATTGAGAGTAAGTCGAACAGTTAAGTAAGGAAGATATATAAAGAGTCAGCAGAGACGGATAGGTTTGGGATGCAGGAGGCTACATGAGTATAAGGTATGCAAGTCAGGCAGAAGTCTGAGAGAAGTTGGGAAGCAGGAGACCGACCAGACGAGACAGGATTAGTCGGCGAAACGAGATTGAGTCCAACAGCTTATTTTAGAAGACAAATAGGGAGGGGCAGCAGAAATGGACAGGAATAAACTGCATAAATGTAAGCGATTCCAGCAGACTGTCAAGGTGTATTAGGCTTAACATTGACTGCAGGTCCCAGACCATTTGCAACTCTGTAGTCATGGATGCAGTCAGACTGGTCAAATGAGACTAGGTCATGCAGGGCACTGAGTTGCCATCCGATTGCAAGAGAAATGAAAGGAAAGAGCGCGATAAGGAGCGGGCAGTTTGGGAAGGAAGGGAGCTTTATTAGTGCTGATTGGATAATTTGTGTCTATATGTGATCGGGGCCGTTCTCCCAGAGCTCGTCCTCGGGGATGCAGATGCCCAGGATCTCGGCTACCTTGGGGACGCTTAATAGTCTATATATGGCCGTGGAGAATTGCGTGATACTATCAGATGCTCTGACGGCTTCCGGTAGCTTATTCCAGACATGCGCATATCTATAGAGGAAGAAGTTAGAACGTATGGAGCAACGTGTGTTGGGTAGGGAAAATGAGTGTGCCTTATGGCGTAGAGGATAACGTGTATCGCCAGGCGGCTGAAAAAAACTAGCGGCACTTGAGTGCGATATTTTGATTAGCTTATATAGGAAAACAAGGTTGGTTTTGAGACGTCGCAGCCAAAGCGGTTCCAGACCAAGCTGCTTGCAGCGGCCTTGATAGTTGAGTGCAGACGCTCCTAATAGACGTTTAGTGAACGAACGCTGGACTTTCTCAATAACCATCCTGTCACTTTTACGTGAGTTAGTAACAACCATTGAGCAGTACTCTACTATAGGCCTGGCACACAACTTATAGAGCATGAGTCGAGACTCTAACAAGCACATCGACTTCAGTATATAACCAATGATAGACCTGGCTTTGGCAGAGCTATAGCTCGCTTGTTCCGCAAAATTCAATGAACAGGAATAGTGTACACCGAGATCGCGCACAGTGAAGCTGTTATCAAGTGGTGTACCGTTAAGAGTTAATAGTTTGGGGGGTATACAGCATCGGTAGGAAAGGACGTTGCATTTCGTTGGTGAAAACTCTAGTTTCCATAGATCGCACCATGTTTCAAGAGCACTGAGATCGCTTTGAATGCTAG